AAGGGGCGCCTCAGGCCGGCGGCGTCCCGGCCCCGCAAGGCCGCGCCCGAGCGAGCCGCCACCATGTCTGCCGGTAGCAGGCGGTGGCCGGTTTGTTTGCTGGTGGCCACCTGCGTAGTGGCCGGGCCCCCCCCGAGTCAGGAGTGCTCCGTGGAGAAACTGGAAAACGCCATCATCGATATAAACTTATCTCTGCCCAAAGGCGTCAGGGGCGCGGAGCCGTTGTACGCCCCAAGCCCAGGGGCTTGCGGTCGCGCTTGCTGCTCGGGGGAAAAGCTCTCAGGTAACGCGCTCCTCTCTGGTCTTTTCTGGGAAATGACTTGCAAAAGTTTGGGCTCGCGTGGTATTCAAGTGCTGTTCTGTGTATTCAGCACAGAAGCGTTAATTTCTCCTTGCCCCCACGCTGCGACTAGTAGCCGTTTTGCTAAGGCGTGATGCTAGATCTTAATGTGAGACCCCGTAGTAGTTTTAAACACCCCGGGGGTAGTTTTAAACATTAAAACCTCGCCGATCCCCAAACTCTGAGGCGCATAAGCCATAGGTGCGCCGTAAAGTAACTGGCGTTTTGTGCTACGTTTAATTTTAGCCAAAAATGAGAGTGCTTACCTTTCTCTGAGACGGCTTGCATCGAGCTTTTGGAGCGGTGGGAGGTAAAGCAGCCAAGTGGTAAAGGTGACCCCCGCAATCAGCAACAAGCCAAGCGATTCCTGGGATGTGATAGGGAAAAGTATGTAAATCATTTCCTTCCCCATGAGTATGGGAAGGCGGGTGTCAGATGTATGGGGATTTGTAAGCGAGATATTATTACAGAAAGTGGTGCCCGTGTGGTATGGGTGAGGGGAGGGTGTGGGTTTAGATTCATTATTTCCTCAGGTTCATCTGTACAGGAAGAGGAAGGTGTGACCTTTTGTATATTGGCCCTGGGCCATTCTTTTACAGTCCTGGGCTGTTTTTCCTGTTGGAATGCTATATGTTAGTAGTTTTCCTCTTACTCACATGAAGAAAAAAATAATTCGACAACCTAGAGCTCATGATCAAGCTGCTTTAAAAGTTCTTATTGCTGAAACATGTACTTATATTTTTCAGGAGACAAGAAGTGTAATTTGATGATTTTTGATGCTCAAAGGACAAGCACACATCCAAACTGCTACCTGTTTTACTGCCCTAGCGCAGAGGCTTGTCCGATGAAACCCGCAACAGGACTTGTGAGCTACAGAATAACTAGAGGTAAGTAATAGTAAGAGCCACCAGTCCCCACACTAGATGACTTCTGCACCAGTGAGTTTTCAGTAGGGACCAGAAAATGTTTGGGGGTTTGAATTTTTAGTAAAATGTTCTAAGCCAACCACTGTAATTTGAAGTTGGAAGATGGAGGGGCAGATGTGAACTCCTGTGTGTGCCCAGCTTTTTGGTTGGAATAACATCTTGACCCTTATGAAACTCCTTCACCTTAGATTCAGACATTATAATTTTCCCTAGCTCAAAACACAAAGAAGCTGCTTCTATCTTGATATATTCAAGAAGGAAAATTCCCTGTATGTAATGCTGAAGAGTGTTGCTGAAAGCAGTGGAAATACAATGCCCTTGTCGCTGTCTGTATATTCAAATCATCCGTGCTGCACTGATGAATGCCACGTACACAGAGGCAGAAACACTGACCACACGTAGGGCAAGCACTGCTGTGATGAGTGGGTAATTGGCAATAGTAATAATTATTTTCAGCTTTCAGTTAGGAAACCTGAAGCACAGATGCAAACTGTCTAAACTCAAAGCTTCGTGGCACGTGGGCTGCACACTCGGAAATTTCTTGCTGTCTGTCATGTGCTGTGGGGTTTTCAATACCAAATCTTGGTGTTGACTGATGTTCACTTGCACCAGGCCTGTCGGAACAGCTCAGATAAGAAACTGTTATTTAGACTCTCCACCAGCCAGGAGTTCATAAGGTGGTTTCAGTGTGGTTGCTTGAGAGAGCAGAAAATTCGTATTTCCAGGGTCTGAACTTTTGCTGAAAGAGAGAGCTTTTCCAAGAGCATCTATGCAAGGAGCCACAGGATATGTAGAAAGACTGTTCACATAATGCTAGCAAATATTTCTGTGCAAGCACAGTCACACAGGGACTGGGCAAAAGCAGTGTGTGACGAAGGAATTGCAGGCCTATAAAGTTACTGTTACAACCACTCTTTTTTCCAGCTTTCTCCCCTAGAAGACTATAAGGGTTTCAAGAAACAAGGAATATAACCGTGTTTGTGCTTTCATCCTGCATGTAGTGTAATGCTCAGTTAGCAACCTGAGTGCATATACCATCTTTTTTTCATTTTGTGATTTTTAGCTTCTATGAACGTTGAATTATGGAAAAATTATGCTAGTTGATTTACCTTATGTTCCTAATAAGCTTTCAAAGATATCATCTGACTGGTGTTGGTACTGACAAACATTTCAGGCTCTGTTTTTTCACATGAGAATCTATGTGTGGCTATACTGAAAACCAAACTAAAAGAGGGAAATTGCTTTATTGTAGTAAAGCAACTTAAAATATTGATGCTATGTTAGTAATGAAACTCTGTTTTTTTTCTTTTTTCTTAACTATTATTGTAGCTGCTAACTAATGGAAACAACCTACGGCTTAGGAAGTAAAACATTTCCTGGTCCAAGTTGCAAAGAGCTGTTGCTAAAAAATAAATTAACATTTCTGGTTTCTGCTGTTCATGTACTTTTGTGGCGCTTGCCTTTCCTGCCCAACTAAGATACCCAAGCAAGACTTGTGGGTTCTAGTAAAGTATGCTCAGGAGGTGTTTGGTTTTTTGTTTTTGTTTTTTTTTTAAGAGTGACAACCTGGAGTTGGTTTCTAATTCAGATTACTGGATTTGAGATACTAATGGGAGTGCTTTGGTTTTTTAATCTCTTTTTTTAATGTTTGGCTCATATAGTGCCCTTGTTCTTTCTTACCAACGAGCATGTCTGTCCTAGTACCCCAGCTGTACCTCACAATGTGACAGTTTTGGGCAATTGCATTTGGGAGTTTATAGTCTAAAATGAAGACAAGGAATACAATAATCTTTGATGCTGAAAATGTGGAGTAGAGTTAGTTAATGCAGGCAGTTATGTTAATTAATCAATCCGAGCTCTGCAGAGGAGCAGCAATACTTAACTCCTGTACGGGACTCTTCACGTAGCCTCCCTGTGCTCCCTCCACCCCTCCTTTGCACGCTGTACGTGTGCTCTGTGATTTTCTAGCTGTTACCCAGGAGAGCAACCTGAAGATGAGGTGACACCCTGCGAGTGCTTTGTAGCTTTGTTTAAACACATGGGGGGAAGCGTCCGTGTGACTGCACTGGGAACAGGGAAAAGGTGAATGGGGTACTGATGCCGTGGTGGTTTCCTCACTGGCTCACTGGTGTGGTAATGTGTCCAGAGCTGCAGAAGCAGGTTGGCTGTCTTTAACTATACAGCTTCTGATTATCTATGTATTTATATATAAAATATATAGTGATCTCACCCCTGGACTCGGCACTGGTGAGGCTGCCCCTCGCTGAGTGGGTTCAGTTTTGGGCCCCTCACCCCAAAAAGGCCATTGAATGACTCGAGCGTGGCCAGAGAAGGGCAACGGAGCTGGGGCAGGGTCTGGAGCACAGGTCTGCTGGGGAGCGGCTGGGGGAACTGGGGGGGTTCAGTCTGGAGAAGAGGAGGCTGAGGGGAGACCTCCTGGCCCTCTGCAACTCCCTGCCAGGAGGGGGCAGAGAGGGGGGATGAGTCTCTGGAGCCAAGGAGCCAGCGCCAGGCCCCGAGGGAATGGCCTCAAGCTGCCCAGGGCAGGGTCAGGCTGGCTCTGAGGAAGGATTTCTGTGCAGAAGGGGCTGTTGGGCGTTGGAATGGGCTGCCCAGGGCAGGGGGGGAGTCCCCGGGATCCCTGGAGGGGTTGAAGAGTCAGGCTGCCCCACCACTGAGGGATCTGGGAGACTTGGGAACGGTCAGGGTGAGGTTAATGCTTGGACTAGATGATCTTCAAGGTCTTTTCCAACCTAGATGATTCTGGAATTCTGTGTAATAACTGAAAATTTTGTTATTTAAAGCCATTCTCTAAAAACAGTGTTTGCCTCTTCTTGAAGTCAAACCTTGTGGTTAGAGTCCATTATCTATGTTACCTTGCTAACAAGCAGGTGCTTGACTGGAAAGTTGGGATAAAAATTTGTGTCTGTGATTCACGTGAAGTATTTGCTGTGCTCTTGTTTAAAGCATTGCCAGTTTGCCAGTTTTTTGGGTTGTTGGCTTTTTTGCACTTTATTTTTTTGTGGAGTCTTAAGGCTTGGAAATACATATTAAAACAGCAGCCAAGTAGGCTTCTTTGCATGTGTAATAAAGCTGAAGTGTATCCATCCCTCTAGGTTAGAGTTCCTACTAGAGAAAAAAGTGGTAATGAAAATGTCATGGACTTTTTGTGTTTACTTCAGTTACAGTGCTGTTAACGAACCTCTTTGTTTCTATAAAAAAGGAGATGAGTGAGAGTCAGAACTACTTGAGAGCATGTTCCCTTTCAAGTGTTCTGTGTGGCAGCTGTGTGATATTATAAATTTTATAATTATATGTATATATATTTATATATAAATCTGAATGATAACAATTAGGCAGTTCCAAGAGCTTGCGCTCACCCAAACTCTCTAATACCTGTGTAGAATCAGGTAGCTGCTAGAATTATAATTTGTATGGAATTTTTGTCACATAACACTGTTGTCCTGCTTCCAAATTCTATTAAATGACAGTGACCTGCCTGTTTTTCAAGGAATACCTATCGATTTCTGGAGAAATTATAACGTGTAGTCTGCTTGTTGTGGAAGTCTTCACTGCAAATACCTCAGAGGCTCTTGGAGTGGTGTTTTAGAGCACAGCAGTAGAGGCTCAGATCTTTCCTACAAACCATTATGTGTATCAAATGGCGTATAAAATGGGGATATTATTGCCACCTTGTATCATAAGACAATTTTTGTGTGTGAATTGAACTTTGTCAAGCAATCACAGGGCGTTTGGGTGTTACAAGAAAGGGGAATATATCATTACCTTGGCTAGGTGGAACTGTGTACATCTGACAAATAAAAGTGAGGTTGATAATATCTACTCCTTAACTGACAAAGGCTGAGAATGGTTTGAAGGCAGTGGGCCTACTCACACTGCTTTTGACCTCCAAATAATGCTAACGTGCATGCAGTGTGTGTATAAACCAGATTGGGATGATCGCTCTGCACAGGTAAATTCTGTAAGAAGCTGCAGTCAGGCTCTGATGTGCCCAGGCTTGAGGCTGATGGGTCTTATGACACAGAATTTAAAAGTCACTCTGGAAATGTTAAAGAAAGTACAATTGTGATCCCTCATTTTCATTAGCCATTACTTTCTGAAGCTCCCTTGTGTCTCTCTCACCAAGAAATATGAATAGAGTAAGCCTGCAGAAGTCACAAATAGATTTAATAATTAAATACTGGCATTTCCTTTCTCTTTCCAGACAGCCGTGCCCCAGAGGATATATCCTTCCACAGTGAGAACTTCTCTTCAAGTGGGTATTCTCTGTCTTCAGATGCTGGAGCATTTCTTTCTCACAGTCAGACTAGCCATCAGAATCATACCGCTGCTTTGCAACAACCTGTCTTTCATCAGGCATCTGAAGTCCTGAACCATGTGGGCAAGCATTTAGACAACACTGAGTTTCATACAGTTTTTCCTGAATCCCAAAGGGCAAAACATCCTGAGAGCTTAGACCCCGTCCCAAGGCAGAAAGTAATTAACCTGCCATCAAATACATCTTCTGCCATTGGAATTGGAAACCCCTCTGCTTTGTTCCCTCAGTCTAGCACTCCTGAACCCAGCAATACTACTCTTACTCCTCTGCCTACAAGTACCACCCGACTGGCATCTCGTACAACCTTCCTGCATCCTGGTGGTGCTAAACCTGCTACTGTCACCACCACCTTTGCACCGACCGTGACCGCTGGAGCTAAACCCACTATCCCTGCCACCAGCATTGCTGTTACACATGTTCCTCTTTCCAGTCCTGCAACTTCTGCACCTACAACCAAGTGGGCGACCACAAATTCCAGATCTGTTGCCACCCCATCAGGGCTGAGAACTCCAGCCATCTCTCCTGAGCCAGCAGTTGTCTCTTCCAACAATACCAGCCATGTTACCCCCCTCTCTTTTGCAGAGTTCACTCTATCTACTCGTGATTCCCCCACAGCTTCCCAAACCAACTCTCAGGGTTATGACCCCTCTGATTCAGAAAGCTACCTGCCAGAAAGTGTTCTGAGAGGGAAAGGTGTCATTCAGCTGGGAGAAAAAAGCAGCCTTGTAGCAGCTTTGCTTTTCGGGGTGATATTCTTGTTGTTAGTTATTGCACTGACAGGGAAGAAAATACACGAGTCTCTTCAGAAGAGGCATTATACCAGGCTGGATTACTTGATCAATGGAATGTATGCTGATGTATGATGAGGTGGAGGAATAAGACTGAGGAGCATCTCTCATCTGTGAGAGGACAACTCTGAAACAGAACAGTAGATAGTGAATTTGCAGAAGAGGATGGATTCCTCTGGCCACTAATGGGAAGGTGGCAGATGGTTTGGTGGGGAAAAAAACCTGCTCCTTCTATGCTGAACTATAATATCTGTCATTTTTGATTTATTACTAAATCCTGAAAATAAACACTGAAATCAAAGTTAAGCTAAGAAGGTCTCACATTTAAGGAGAAAAAGCATTTCAAGAGCTTAATCTATACTGTGACAAGATCAGTGGAACAGAAGTACACCTAATAAATTGAATACCTGTGCAGTGTGTGAGCATTTTTAGTGCTGTTTGCACCAAATGCCATAGTGTTATGCAATCGTCTGGCAATCCCATTTACTCTATTTATAGCCTTAAAGGAGTACTTAATCGTAGAGCTTTGAGTCTAAGTGGCTTTAGGTACAAACAGGAAAAATTGTAGTACACATAGCTTAATTTTCCTTAGCTATGTATAGTTTACGGATATATGTGTATCTTTAATGGATTTTTCTTCATACATCACAAGCTATCTTTAAAACCACATGCTGCAAATCTGAGTTTGCCTTTTCCAAAGAGCTTGCCACCCTATTACATAGAGAATTTTTGCAATATGTACCAGAGAGGAGGAGTTTTTATCGTATCAAAGCAAAGTAAGCTGCGATCAGGCTCTTTTGTAACAGAATGCATGACTGAGGGACTTGGCGTATGCACGAGAGAGAATCTGTACAAATACACCAAAATCCCCAATAGTTGAGACTCAACACCTCATCTCAGAGCAGGCAGAGACTTGTGAGGGGGCTTAGCAAAGACAACAGCTGTATTATTTGCAGAGGACACAGAAAAGTGTGTTGTCCGTTTGCTGAACATCTAAAGGGAGGTAAAAAAGTTTTGAAGGAAAATGGTGGCTATGCTGTAGGAGAGTCCTAATCTCAAAGATGTTTCCTACAGTCAGCAGGAGCTTCTGGTGTTCTAGTTCCCTCACCAGGCTGGTGCTCACCAAAGACCTGCTTGCAACAGTGCTGGACTTGCTGTCCCTCCTGAGCACGCAGAGTTCTGGCCGGCTCTCAGAGCACACCCTCTTTCTTCACTTCTAGGGGCACCTTCTTGGGACTGGTAATAACCACAGCTGCTCCATGTGCTCCCCCGACACCACCACAGCAAGAGAGGAGGGGGAGGACGTGTGAGCAACTACCCAGCTGCCAGTTTGTGTTACTCACATTTCCCTTCACGTAGACCCAGTCTAAACCTGTTTTTAGAATGAAAGACTAGATTTCAAAGTATCCGTGTGGCAGGCAGTGTAATCAACAACAAACATCAAGACAGAGAAGGAAGGGTGCCTCATGAAATAATTCTACTACAAAAAATGAAACGTGACTCACATCCGAGAGCTTCTTAGATCTGTCAAGCTTGGTGTGGTGGGAAGCAGGCGTGATCCAAAAATGGCCTCAAGGCAAGTTTTGTGAGAGCTCTTAACAATAACTTTATGCAGAAAATTCTCTGAAAATGCCATTATTCAAAGATCAAATAGAAGTCAGTGTTCCTTATGTCAAGAAGTTGAATTCTTACCGTATAGGGACTGCAAACTGCTTTATAGATACAAAACCAGCTAGTCTTCTACGTTGCTTAAACCTGACAATGCTTAAATGAAAAACATTCTGGATAATCTCTTAAAAGTGAACAAAATTACAAAAGAAAAGTGTCTCAAGTTCATCAGCTTACCTGTTGACTGCACTTTGTTTAACCTCAGGTTTGGGGATTTTTTAATAGCTATTTTCAAAGGGTTTTGGTCAAGGAACGTGACGAGGAGGAACAACATTTCTGGGAAATGAGTTAGCAAAATGATAAGTACTCGGCCCAGTTGTGGACTGTAAAAATGCAGGCACAGATCTGAGGTTGACCAGAATTTTCTCTCAAAAGAACTAAACTCTGTGCGAAGCCTTCAGCGTTGCTCCTGCTGTCATGGCAGGTTATTGCAGGAGAGGTGCTAAGAACAACTGTGTGCTTCTGCCGTAATATTCATTCATTGATATTCATATTGATTGATATTGATACGGTGCAGTACAGGAGAGATACATTCAAGAGAAGGCAGGCAGACATATCTCGGGGCCGTTCAGAGCTCTGGGCATGTTTTTGGCTAATATCGTTAGAAATATCACCCTCCAACCCAAACAGCAATGTGTATCAAGCACAGTGAACAGCAGAAGTAAAGCAGAGAGGCAACCAGGTACCATGACTTAATTTGGTAAGGATGCCAAACTGAGTAGCCTTTCACAAGTTTTGAGTGAAACAAACAACTTTAAAAAGCTAGAGCAAAGAAAAATACGTATTAGGCAGGTGTACTGAAACACTTTTTTTTTTTTTTTTTTTTTTCCCCCCCCATCCATTTGTCCTGGATTAAGAACAAACGGGGAATTGTTAGGGACCGGTTTGGCTTTTTTCTGGAGGGGCATTTACAAGCTGTGTTTGAACACTAGAGGGCAACAACGGTTTAGTAAATAGAACTGGCAAGTTTTGAGGATGCCGATTTAAAAATGATTTCATTAGTTCGATTTTTAACTTTCCAGTCAATGGTTATTTCATTGCAAAAATGTTTTATAGGAAAGCTGGTTTGTTTATTGGAAGGTTCTGGGTGGAGGATTATATATGCACACTTTTAGAATTTCTTACTGTATCATACAGTGGGAGTGAACAGCTGTAGGGACAACAAAACTAAGCATATTTTCTTCTCTGTTTTAATGTTAAATCAGATTGCATTATTAGTCATGTATTGGCATTTCCAGTTAACAGAGCAGGAGAGAGATTTCCCATCACCATTCTTTCAACTATGATGCTTAATTCTGTGCATTTTTGGAGCTTGTTTATTCATCAGGATATTGCTCTTATATGATGAAACAGGAGTGAGGCAGAGTAACTGTAAAAAATCCATCCAGTTTGTTATAGTTTTCAACCTCGTTTATCTAAAAGATCTGTGCACTCTTCTGTTTTTCCATCGACAGCTCCTGTGGTCTTAACTGTGCACCACATATGTGAACTGGATCATTAGCCACTACAACATGGTGACAACCCCTGCACTTGGGGTGGTTCTTTCTGAAGGGAACCTGTTATGGCATGAGGCCAAAACCTGATTGACTTTAATCACCTGGAGAGTGTAATAAATGCTGTAGCTGCTTCTTTTCATGTTGTTGCTTTATAGCGCTGAGCAAACATCGGGTGTGTAAATACACTGTCATGAACAAAACTGGTTTGTGGTATTGTACAGTAAGGCAAATAGAAAGCCCACATTTTATAACCACTGCAAACAATCATAAAGAAAGAAATTGGAGATCTATTTGAGATGGATGAGAAGAGTGCATAGGCCCTACCTCAAAGGGCTGCAAACTCAGTGTAGCATGTTCTCTTCAAATGCTGCTGCTTCAGTTTGTTGTAATTCCTGTGGGAGTAGGAAATGCTTATACTCAGGATTCTTTCAAGTAAATTACTAACCGACTAACAAAAGAAAAAAAAATTACATGAAGAGACAGTTTCAAAACTGAATCTTATTTTTCTTCCTCCTACAAAACCATCTTAGTGGATTTGAATCTGAATATACCATTAGCTACTGCTTTGATCCCACCATCCCACACTCCATGCTGATACAAACATAGAATTTAAAGGGCCATTATTGCAGTCAACAGTTTCCACCCAGTGTCCTTGGAGAGAGCTATACTTTGTGCTCTGTCACACTCCAGAAGCTGGCCTAGACTGCTGGGCCCTTCCTACGCATCACCCGTTCTCTCATATAGGTAACAGACATTCCCTGTTCATCAATAGTTACAGGATAGCCACAGCCCCTCATCGTTGTAACTCTTGCACATCCCTTGAGGACTGTACGTGATATTCCCAGATGCTTTACCAGTCTCTTGATGGGGAGATCTCCTGGGATATATTTAGCATATACTGAACATTCTTCTTCATCCTCAGGAAGCCTAAACTCACTCTTAATCTCACAGCCTAAATTTGCTTTTTTCTTCTAGGTCTCTACACTCCTGAGGATATCAAAGTGCAAAGCATAAAACTGCTGCTCTTTGTCTTCTTTGTGTTTGGTAGATATTATAAATAACAGATAAATGTATTTTTAGTTTCAGGACAACTATGCTGGATCACTGTTTCCTGTATATTGTCTCACTTCATGAAAAAAAAGGCAGAGGGTTGAGCATTAACTGTTCTGTTACTTCTTTCCTTCCAAGCTATAAAATGTCATTGGCTGAAGTGGCAAAAGAGTTTAGATATGCCACCTCCAAGGTGTTCTAATCCCTCTTCTTTTTGGTTTGCTTTGTCTTTAATAGAAAATTGAAAATTCAATCATACTGCCAACACCCAGGAATAGTGCTCAGATAATTTGTGCACTCTGTATATTCTCAAATTTCACAAGCAGTTAACATCCAGAACAACTGCAAGTTGTTGTAGGTGAGACTGGCTAAACCATAGGCTTGTTTTGAAATATTCACTGATTTGAGCAGTCACTCTGAAGACCACAGAGGTGCTTCTTCAAACTGCTAGGATGGTGAGGATGACTGTATAAAGTATAAGTACTTCAAAGGTGCTTTGGTACCTGCCCCATCAGAGAAGGAGCTGAGTTCTGGCTGAAAGTTCGGAAGCCACCAGGAGCAAAACCAGGTTTTATGTGCCCCACTTACACAGAAAGAAGGATGTCATCGGTGGTGCTTAGACTTTGACATTGCGACTTTTACAACTCCTCTCAGGAACACCGAGATTGAAAATTTGCACAAAGTTCAAACATTTAGTCTTGTGCTAGGAAGATGGTAGAAAAACCCTCACTAAGACACAGGTTTTCTATAGGCTTGCCTGCTGTTTATTTAGTTTCCAAGTAAGTTTTTCTGTTTGCTTCTCTGAAAGAGCCTTTTTTCCCTGTCCCTAAATCCAAGTTCACTGACACTACTGAAGTCCTGTGTAGCCCAAGTAAGTTAGGAATGAGATGAGCCCTATACTTCGGTGGCTGTGTGCTGCTCTTTGTGCGTGCAACTCCTATTGATGTCAGTGGGAGGTCCTCCAGCACATACTTGATGGCTATAAGTCAAGTCCTCCCACTTAGTGGCTCAACTTTCCAAAACAATTGCCTTATAGGATGACAGCACTTCTCAGCCCAGAGGTAAAATTTCTGAAAGAACCCAAAGACCATTTTCCCAGCTGCTTCTGATTATTTAACTATGGCAGTGTTGTCCTTGTTTTGTTTCAGGGCACGAAATAAGGAGTTCAAATGTTTTTCCACCATGTGATAACTCAGGCACTACTTCTGGAAAGACTCCAGATTTGGCACATGCTATATATTGCCTTGACAGAGCACTTCGTTTTAGAAAGGGCAAAAATTAATTTGTTTGTGAGGTATAGTTTTTTAAAAAGTGAGAACGTCTCACATTATGCTGCTCACTACTAAACAAAATACACGTGGTTTTTCTGCACAAATACATAAAGAAATATATAAAATGCGTATATACCCCGTTCAAGTGAATGTTGTGAAGGATGGTAGAGTTTGAAAAGTGACAGGCCTGAATCAGTCACAGAATCCCAGAATCATTTTGGTTGGAAAAGACCTCGAAGCTCCTCCAGTCCCACCATGAACCTCACCCTGACTGTTCCCAACTCCCCCAGATCCCTCAGCGCTGGCTCAGCCCGACTCTTCAACCCCTCCAGGGATCCCGGGGACTCCCCCCTGCCCTGGGCAGCCCATTCCAACGCCCAACAGCCCCTTCTGCACAGAAATCCTTCCTCAGAGCCAGCCTGACCCTGCCCTGGGCAGCTTGAGGCCATTCCCTCGGGGCCTGGCGCTGGGGCCTTGGCTCCAGAGACTCATCCCCAATGACTGCTGAAGTCTATCCCTATGCCATGTCTAGCAGAGAGAGAACATAAGCTTTTGCAGATGTTGGAGGGAGATGTCTGTCGTTGGAGAGCCTATCTCAAGGGTGGGTTTGAGGGTAGTTCAAGTGCCATGACGTTTTGGTAGGTTCTGAAAACGGGTATCCCTGGTGACAGCAGACATCTCCAATGGCTGCCCCATCAATTGGTAATGAAAGGGATTTCCAGGAACTCAGTCTGTGTACACCAGCAACAGCCAAAAGAGCAACCAATAAAGTGGATACATGCTCCAAGCAGTTACGGTGGAGCTTCCTCATCTGGAGCATCTCCCGACTTTGTAAAATGTCAGGCGTTCAGAACATAAGAAGAAGGTTATCCTGGGCAGCAATCCAGATGGAGTTAAAGTGGGCAGATGCAGCAGCTGGGTTCCACGGCCTTGCACAACAGCAAGTCACCGTGCATCAGCCAGCGAGGGACACGCAGGTTCTCATACCGGTTCTGCTGCCGGCTGACACCCGTGTTCCAGCGGAGACTGTAGAAGGTAGTGGGCTGGAAAGGTAAATTTGGGGTAAAGCTTAAAACTTTGTAACTGATCCCGATTTTTTTTTCCTTTAATTAATTTTAACCTGATTGAATGTTGATTAAGTCCTAATTAGAAACAACTTTGGTTGCAGGTCTCGTAATGGACCTGGTAAAACAAGATAGGTCTCTCCAGGAAAGACTTTGCTATTTCTCATTTGGCTTTTGACCTAAAATTTAACAAATCTTTTTTCAATCTTTAACTTGGCTCAACTTCTATTTATTTAACTCTATTACCATCAGTTATGACAACTAAGTATCTATCCTCTACCTCTCTACCTTTTTCTTCACAGCCATTCCATTGTCTATCGTACGTTGTCCAAGGGTGGAGGTTTTGCACAGGGAAAGAAAATGGGAATTTGCCTTTGTAATTGCTAGGCTGTGTTTTGCTTTAGTTTTCAGATCTTCCTGTTTAAAATTGAAGAGTATTTTAAACTTGAATTTTGATTTTCTAATCTTTCTTTTGAAATCGTATCTATGTAGCAAAATAATTACTAGGTGATCCATATGTCAAGGACCCAGGGCTGCATAATGTTGAGTGCTTTTTGCTCATGAAGAGGCCCTTCTCAATCTATTGAAATACAAAACAGTATCTCAGAAAAAATAGATTTTGTCCTTTGTTTGTCGCAAAGAGCCATGACAAACGTCACAGCTACACCATAGGTACAAGTCTCAAATGTTTTGTGTTCATGTGAGTATAAATCATGGCACATATTTAATGGCAAAAATAATAAAAAGAACTGGCAGATGCATAGCTGAGTACTCTAAACTTAGTGTGCAGAAACCGAGGGAGTGGCTGCGGCACTGAATGAGACCAGGAGCTACAGTTCTTCTGCTTGTACACTGATAATACCAAATAAATCAAGT